CTCCTTCCCTCCCTCCTTCTCTCTGTTTCAAAAACAACTTCTACTTCTTAATTACTTGAACCGCTATCAGAGACATAAAATCCGTTCTCACTTGGCAGCTCGTCTTCTTGCGGGTTGAACTTCGAAGCGTGCTCCTTGGCTGCTGGCTTTATTACTAGACCCAAATGTAAGTCCATAACTGGCTACCTGGGATTCAGATGCCCAACTTACAGGCTGAGTTTTCCAGACGTGGCAGCTGGGTCTGTTGATTCCTTCCTCCACCTTCTCCCTGTACCCTTTGCTGGGAAATATTTTATGAGCCTACCAACTGCCATGATCTATGCATAAATCTATGGTTATCTGTTTTATAGTGAGGGAGTCAAGATACCTCCTTGAGCCCAGAGGGGCGAAACATTTGGCTGTGAAATGCTGATTGTTCCCCAGCCCATGTTCAGAAAAGATTGGAAGGGAAGTGGAGGGGGGGAGGTATTCAGATTTGGCTAATGAGGGAGGCAGGGCCACCCTAAGACATTCTGTAGCTGAAGGAAAAGGATAAGTCACCTCTCTGGGTATAGGCAGTGATTGATAGGGTGTCATTTTCCAGTCTACGGTGACTCTACAAGACAGCCAAATTCCTGTGAACCTCTTGATGCTAGTGTGAAATCCACTTTTGTTTCAAACATTTAACATGTGAAACTTATTGTATCGCCCCCTTAGAAAAACTCCTATTGAGTATATTCTGAATGCAGGTAATCCTCAACCTACAACCACAACTGAGCCCAAAATTTATGTCGTTAAGCGAGAGGTTTGTTAAGGGAGGTTTGCCCCATTTTACAACTTTTCTTGGCACATGTGTTAAGTAAATCACTGCAGTTGTTGAATTAGTAACAGGGTTGTTAAGCGAATCTGGTTTCCCCGTTGACTTTTGCTTATCATAAAGTTGCAAAAAGGGGAATCGCATGACTCCAGGACGCTGCAATCATCATAAATGTGAGTTAGTTGTCAAGCATCTACATTTTGATCCGATGACCATGGAGATACTACAAGGGTCGTGAAGTATGAAAAATGGTCATAAATCACTTTTTTTAAGTGCCATTGTAACTTCGGATGGTCACTAAATGAACTGTTTTAAGTCATGAACTATCTGTACATGTTCTCTGGTGTTGTCACTGCTTTCAGCACACTCTTGAGGAATGCAGAATATATCATGAAACACACCATTCTTTGTTCCACAGCAGGGGACATCCCGGGAGAAAGAGATAGTGGCTGCTTCTGCTGTCCACCTTCTTTTAGGAGGCTACCTCCTGAGACAGAGCCAACTCTGTAGGGAAGCAGAATTCTGTGTGGGGTCCTAAAGAGCACCAGAAGAAAATCATCAGGAACCCTTGAATAGGTACATATTTGAAAGAGAGGACGAATTTGTAGGAGCACCAAATCTTAATCAAAGCAAAGCAGAGGAGAACTTATAGTTGGGTCAGGTTTTCTTATTTTGTTGGTTGTTTATTTGTTTTTTTACTTGCATATATAATATGTATATGATACCTAACTGAATTTATTGTGGCAGTTATAAATTTGCTACAGCCACTAGTGTTATTAGTAAATTATTCTGGGTGCAAGTATTATTTGTACATATAGCAAGAAAACTTCAGTTGAATCCATCCGTCCAGATTTATCTGGTTCGCGTGAACTATTAGCACCTGCGGTGGGAGTCTCTGCCCACCTGCCGGGACATCATTACGTCCCATTTTTGACCCTCTGTGCATGTGCAGAAGAGATGCATGCACTCACACTCCCGAACAGGTAGCGAAGGTAGGTGCATTTCACCAGTGATTGAATCCGATCCTACGTTAACATGCTTTGATCTGCTATCAGCTGTGTGCCTGAGCCTTAAAGCCTTAGCTTTGAACTCTATACATCTCAAATAGGCTGCGTTTGTCTGTTTGGTATTATACCGTTTTCTTCAAAACATAGGTTTTCTTTTAATTATTTCTCTGTTAAAAATAGGAGGTTTTGTTCTCCTTGCTTTCTCTTAGCTATTTTGGGATCTAGACTATAAGGTCATTTGTTCCACACTTTCAATAGCTGTATCTTGATTCTTTTAACTCCTAAGCACTTAGATTTGAGATAGATAATTACGTTGCTTAATAGTAAATTGCACTGCAACATGCCCAGAGGGATCTGAAATAAAAGGTATTTAAAAATCTACCATGTTAGAAAAGCAAGATAATTTCAACTAATGAGATTATCAGGGATAATCAGTTTACAAAAGCCCATTATGAGCAGATTCATTGATGTCTTAAAACAGAAAAGAAGAATCCTATTTATTTTTTTAAACAAATTGCTTTTTCAAATGGAAATAGGCTGTTTCCCATTACCTTTTATTTGATGATTTTTGTAGCCCCATCTGCTGTCCAGTTTTGGAAATATCTGTTTTAGGATACATCTATATCTAGATATACATCTTGCTGATAATGTGCAGGAAATAAAATCTTTTATACAAATAATACCTTGCATCAGTTTCTAGTGTTAAAGAAACTTGTAACACCAAAGTATTCTGGTATTCGAATATATCTCAATTTTCCTTGTAATGTGGAAATCTATAGTGGTAATTATTTCTAATGGTTACTTTACAGAAAAATAGTTGCACTGATAATTGAAACATCTATGATAAGAATGTAAGTTTTTCTCACTTTTACTTCGTCTGGACTGGGCAGATTGTAATTTTCCCCTTCATGACTCCAATTTATTTTATGTTTGTACAGATATTAAAGCTATGTGGGAAGATTATTGTGTAGGAGAAGTCACACTGCTTGCAAGAAAAGGTACAAGTCGATGGCATTTTTTAATTTTGCATTTATGTAAGTTTATAACTAGAACCCATACTAATTAGTGTAACAGTGGTGTGTGTGTGTGTGTGTGTGTGTGTGTGTGTGTGTGTGCGTGTGTGTGTGCAGAAGGGAGGGAGAGAGAGGGAGGGAGGGAGATTTCCATTTTTTTAAAAATTTGATTTATATGCCGCCCTTCTCCGGAGACTCAGGGCGGCTTACAATGTGCTAAGCAATAGCCTTCATCCTTTTGTATATTTATACAAAGTCAGCTTATTGCCCCCACAACTGGGTCCTCAATTTACCTACCTTAGAAAGGATGGAAGGCTGAGTCAACCTTGAGCCTGGCGAGATTCGAACCTGCAGTAATTGCAGGCAGCTGGTCTTAATAACAGGGTGCTTTAGACCACTGTACTATCAAGGCTCATTTGATTTGGGTCAGGACTCAGGTATTGTTATGCCAATGATATACATTGTCATGCCAGGCCACAGATGCTGTGGAAGTCTTTAGGAACTGAAAGGGGAGAAACAAATCAGACTAAATGTAGGCTGTACACCGCCCTGAGTCCTTCAGGAGAAGGGCGGTATAGAAATAAAATTATTATTATTATTATTATTATTATTATTATTATTATTATTATTATTATTAAACCTCAATAAGATGGAGATGACAGTCATCCAGAACATCTTGGCTGTCTGGAAACATTGATACTAGTGGTTATTCTAGATGGGGTCAAATTTCTCTCAAAGGAGCAGATTGTGTGTTCTTCTGGCCTCAGTATTCTTCTGTATTTGAAGATTATGGCCATTGGTCATTCCACAGCTTCAACTGGTATGCTACATATGGCCCAGAAAGACTTGATACTCATAGCTAACATTGTGATTATCATCCCAACTGCACTCTACATAGTTCAAAAGTGCAATAGCCAGATTTCTAGCGGAGAACCCACAAATAGGATAGAGTAACTCTATTACTGAGAATAGTAGATTCTTATTCACTCTGGTAGCCGCCACTAGGTTTCTGAATCCAATTCAAACTTTGTTTGTTTATTGAATTTATATAACCACCCATCTCACTTGCAAGTTCTGAGTTAGAAAGACCTGTGAGACTTCCTTACTAAATATGATTCTGCTTATTTTGTTTTGACATATACAGAAGGTCTGTTTAAGGTTCCATCCTGAAGGAAGACAGGTGTGAACCAGAAGTCAGGTCCCCATGTAATAAATACATTGACCCCTGGAGCTGTTCCGGTTCTCTTTGGTTTTGACATTTCAAAAAGCACTGACAAGTGCTTTGTTTCACTGGGCCTTTGGCCCCCATGATAAATTGCGAATAACCATGTAGCTTTATGTTTTTTAAAGATGTGGCATAGTTTTTATAGCATGTTGCTCTGTCTGCTTCAGGTGGAACAATGAGTCCTACAAATTCAGAGGCCCAGATTCAGCTTACATTAATTTAGCTTCAAATTATAATGAGAACCATTGCAAAACAGTAGCCCCATATTTCCCAGATAAATATTATACTGAATGTTACTGACAGGCCAAGCAGAATAAAATCCATTCACCATTTAATTTCCAATATAGGCCATGTACTGTAGTTGTTTCTGCCTCAAAATGGCTGAAGACAGGAGGAGTCCAGATGATTAGATCCATCTGCAGCTACTGTAATTCCTTTAATAACTACAGTTTTGCCCCTATGTTGTCTCCAAAATTCATGTTCAGCCTAATTTAAAATACCTTGCAATAAGATTACCTGTAATTCAACCTTAATTCAAGTTTGGTCTTCCGATACGGCTATGCTTTAAGTATTTTATTGTTGTTTTTATGCTTTAATGATTGTGTTTTCTCTGAGATCCATTGATGGAGTGGAAGGTCATAAATATCTTACGAAATATTAAATACATATGCAGCCTCTCTCATGTAAAGAGAGAGATTGTTATTTCTACAGAAAAATGAGTACAATGTTAGAACAACGCAAAATTCAGATAACTGAAAAAAAAATAACAAGCAAATTTGAGGTAAGAGAGAGAATGAAATTTAACCTTGAAGCTGCTCTTTATTGCAAATGGAAGGAAACAAATTGAAAATGAAGCATGTGATTCTGAGTTTGCTTTCTTTAGACACTAACGGTAAGAGAAACAGTTATTTTGTGTTGTTAAACTTCTGTCTCTTTCTTCTAACATTTCAGAAAACATACCTGCAATTCCAAGGCAGTTTTAGTCAGAGCTATATTTTCAGACCATTTTGGAGAACTTCTATTGGAAGACATAATAGGTCAGAGAAAAGCTGTTCCCACACGTTTTGGAACTCTCCTAAGCATGAGGAAACATAATTGGTGATTTAAAGGAGCCAAGTTACTTTTCCCAGCTATAAATCCTATTACATCTATTCTGTACAGTAAGACAATATGAACACAATATGATAGTTTTGCATTCTTCATTTCTATGCATTCTTTAAGAAAACTACAATATTAGTATTCTTGGCATACAGAAAGCAAACAGGAAAGAAGGTGGAATTATGGTCCAGCAAAAGTGACGAAGCCTCTCAGATATCATTGACAGAACTCAGTCAGTTTAGATAACTCTGTTAACCACAATATCCCACAACCTTATTGACTTATTCAGATCCTTGTTATTTATGTAGGAGCTGTTATACAATGGCATTGCTTTATTTATTTTAGCCCTGAGCGAAAGCGTTGCACAAATATCTACCGCATACCTATCAGCTAGGTTCACAAATGAAATCTTGTTATAGTTCCTGAACATTTTCCTATCTCTTCATGATGATTTCAGAGATGGCTGTTCTGACCTTCTGTAACCTAAAATGATTTCAGACATCTCTAAATAATACACATGTTCTGTCTTCTTTTGATTGAATGATGAATAGCACTTAAGAGTGATTGATTGGCTAGTGTTAACATGGCCAACGTGTTTAGAATGGGTCACATTCCCCCTCCCCCCTATCTCCACTCTGAATCCTATGAATTTGTCCCAGGTTTCTTCATTTCTTTGTCTCTGGCCACTGCAGCATGTTAACTTCATCCAATTGGCAAGCAAGCAGTCCCTCTGGCACTGGTACAAATGCCATTTTGTGGATTGTCCATTAAGGGGGGAAGTACAAGGGAAATGTAGCTGATCCTTCCAAAACAATAAGCACATTCTCAGTATGAAGTGTGCTGTTTTGCTTATTCTAGGGTGTGAGCCTGCAATCGTATTTTGCATTAAATGAGGATTTCAAATGGCATTTAAGCAATGATATAAATGACAGCCACTCTAAACTTTAATTATATATGTAGTTTAACATTGCTGAAGTATGTAATGCTACAGCCAACCATTTCAAGTAGAATTACATATGCCAACTTTCTTGTTTTTTTAAAAAAAATCAGAAGGTTTTCTCCCACTAAGCACAAGTAATTTTTACTTTTTATAAATCTCATTCTTAATCTGAATACGAACTGTACTCTCCAATTCTAAATAAAATTAGTTGGAAAGAAAGTCCCCTTGACAATATAATAAATAGGTTTACAATCAGAATATGAGAATATCTGCTTTATTATATGAAGAAACCATTGTGTTAAATATCTTGAAAGAAGCTTTTTCTTTATAAATTTGAAAACAATTTATTTAACATGACTTAAGTTCTCTAGCTCTGACCTAGTGTTACCCTCCATAACTAAAAGACAAATATATACAGCGTCTTTTTTAGAGAGCCCAAAAATAGAAAACGTTTCTACATTACAGGTTTTGGTTCCAATTCATGGAGGCAAACAAGAATGGTAATGGATAGTAATCAAAGCGAGCAGATTTATTATGGCTGTCCATCATATTATATGTGTTAGAAGTGATAAAGTTATTTAAATTACAAAGAGGACATTGCAAATATTCTAGAATCCTTATAAAATGTATAGAGCAAAATGAGTTTTGCTACTTAACAGCTTTTCAAAGTCTTAACAAGTATAGAAGGGAATATCTGTAGCTCAGGGTTGAACTGTATAGTTCATAGTGCTCTCTGGGCTTGATTGTGTGCTCAGAAATGTTTTAGTACCTGACTAGATAACATCATCAGTGTAAGAGAATGTAGGGTGTGTTCCCTGTTTATATACAGTAGTTTCCCCTGCCAGTGGTGGCAGTGTGGTTTTCTCCTTCATAGTTCTTTGATTAAGATATTATTAAGATGTATTTGAGATGTTTTTTAGATGTTTACCTCAGACAAATACAAACAGAATGCAGAAGACCAGGAAAATAAATGGTCATGGAACAACTAAGCTCAGAAGCACTAAGGATTCCACAGTCTTAATAATTATATTAAATAACACTGAGAATATACCCTTGAAACTTAGGGTTAAACAGATATTATTTTTACCTTTTTAGTTTATTGATCCAAGCACCCATGCCTGCCTGAGAGCAGGTTCATAAAAAGTTTTGTTTGGTTTAGAAAATGTAAATTAAAATTGGGAAACTGAACTTCTAGGTATCAAACATGAAAGCTAATGCCTCATTTTCATGACTTGGTAATTAGATAGGAAGAAATGAAAATACAATGACACTAATTATTCTTAAGGAAATAATATTAGAATAAACAATAATATAAATCTAAAGCATTTATCAAAAGCTTGATTATTAGTGCATGTTATTAACGAAACTACCATAAATTTTCCAAAAGAAAAACTAGTCGTTTCTGAACCAAACCATATGCCACTAGGTTTTTTGAGATATACTTTGCATTGTAAAAAAGTTATTTTAAAGTTGGAGAATTATACCTCTATATTAATCCATGATCTTTATATACAGCTTATCTATGAATATTTCAGTCATAACACTAAATTTCTGCTGGTTTTGTACAGGTAACTTGGCACTTTTGGGAATTCCCAGGTGCAGTATAAGTTCAGTGGAACCTTACAAATGGCACAGCTTATATTTCGAGGCATCAGTTATATCGGTTCCTTGATTCATGAACACATAAATAGACATATCAACTACTCCTCAAGGGAATATTGCCATATTCGTTGTGATTGGAAAAACATTATCAAAGGTCTTAAATTAGGTGACTGTCTATCAAAGTTATGCATTTCAGTTGAAAGCAAAGGGAGGAATCAGAAATAATGACTTCAGTTGCAAAAGATATTACAAATTATGAACGCAGAAAAAAGAAGGGGGCGGGTGCAAATTTTGTAGATCTGACTATAACATTTCTCCCGTTATACACTTGTTGTTCTACAAACTGCCCCAGACCATCACTAGCAGGAAGAAAAACAGAATAGCTGTTTTCGATAGCAAATGCTTGGAAGATGCAGGTTTTTATCACCCTTTATTAGAGCTCTGATTTTTTTTTTTTAAAGAAATCCAAAATCAGTGCAATGTTTTCCTTTCCTCACTCTCCTTTTCAAAAGGAATTTGGGGTTCCTTGCGTTACCTTTAGATTTAAAGTAAAATATATATTTGGGTTTATCAATAGAATAGCTATCTTCAATTATAAAAGAAGTGTGTATTTTATTTGGCTCTTTTTATTATTTAGTGATCAAAATGCACACAGGAAAACCCAACACAGATATGCATTTTCTCTGCATTTGAAACTCGCAGCCATTTAGTAGCTGATTAAGAAGGATGCAGAAATTTAAGATGCCCTCACCCCTCCTCACTATGCAGAAAGAGATTCTGTCACATGTACCAATGTTTGATCAGCAAGAGTGCCTCTCGAAAGACATACATTTGAGGAAACATTTAGCAAGCAGCATAGTACATTAGTGTCACAAACACTTTATGGTACGGAACAGGCTAGCCACAGAAGTTATCCAGATGAACAGGGTGAAAACATATAGTAGCAACAGTGCTTGTGTATAAAGGTGTCATGTCTTGGGAAGAGAAAAAAAGATACGTGAAGCAAAAGAACAAAGATGCAGTTGGAATGCAGTCAAGCTCCACACTTAATACTAATAACAAGACAAAAAGAATATTATAGGAATCTTACACATCCATTTATACATACCTTTCGGGAAGATTCTCCATGAATTTTAGGAAATTCCTTTCAATCTAAGAACGGGTCAGCTTTGCAGATTCCTGCAGCAGTAATAACAGAGGCATTACAGAACTGAAGTGTGTATGGATGTGTGGGAGTGTGTAGTGATTGTACTGAACTACAATCTCTCTGCATGTTTATTATTATGTTTTTTAAAGAGCTTCATTTGGGACTGCAGTTACTTAGAGACTGGAGACATTCTTAAGTAAATACTGCTGACATTTAGATAGTTAAGGGATCCTATTCAAGCGACAAACAATGGCTTGTTGTTATTTGCATAAAAATTCACAGCAGCAGCATCACTCTGAAAGAAAGTTAGGAGGAGGTTGATTACAATTGTCCTTTTGTTTTAAGATATGCGCTCATCATTATTCTTACTTTATTACTTCACTCTTCATTTTTTAAAAATATGTATTCCATTAACCTCTGCTTTTACAGCTGGTTTTAGAGTAACCTTTAGAAATTAAAAAATAATAGCAACAACCTCATAACAGAGGCAGCTAATATGAAATCAACATGGGAGAGATTTTCAACACAGGATATTTATTTTTTTAAAAATAGAAGCAGGCACCCTGGAAACTTCTTAGAAATAGATAAAGTTGCCAAACGAGTTTTCAATACTCTTGAAAACTTCTATTAACAGATGCTTAGCTTTCAAAAAGGTAATATAAAATCACGCCTGCAATCATCATAACCCACCCACCCCAAAATGGGCAGAGGGGAATCTCAATCCTCAAATAAATTCTTGTTTAGTTCTCTTCATGTAATATTGTTCCCTGGTGTTAATTACATTTAAATAGGAGAGTCCTAGTTTGGCATCATTCATTTGCCTTGAAAAGTACTTCCCAGTTTATCATACCTGTCAACCCCTGTGCATCACAGGCTAATACTTTATTAAGAAAAAAACCATCGGGGAGCTACTGATCCCATTTAAGTACATTGGGCAGAATGTACAACTAATTAAAAAGCATATTTTACATTATTAATTTTTGAGTTTCACTTAATGAATGTGAAATGACAAGGCTACTATTTTTATATTCAAGCACTCTGGGCTTCTTAGTTGAGGGAATTAAATTCTACCGATTTTTACAAAGATGTTGCTCCAGAGAATTGTTGTCAAAGAAGCTCCACTTTTTTTCTTTTTCTTTTTTTTTTAGCTATGTCTTTTTATTTTTAAGGACAGCCAAGAAGAGTTCACTGGATGTTGTTGTTGGATCGCTGTTGCTTTCAGCCAGAACGATAAAAGTACTTTAGATGAGATATAAAATATGGTTTTTAAATTATATTATGATTTGCAAACACTAAAATATAATTGCAGCGCAGTTGAGAGAGCACAAAAACATCTAGTCTTTATTGTATAAGACAATGTGATAAAATATTTTACAGCCAAAAGCTCATTTTGCATCTGGAAAATTGTATAAACTGATATCTGGGGAGGGGGAAGGGGGAATCTCATTAAAAGTAAAGTTTTTTTTTTAATATTCTTAAAATAAAGCAATAGACTATAATTGCAATTTTTCTCCCGCTCAGACTTTATTAAATTGCATAACTGTTCAAATATCTAATATTCTTTTTTAAGCAAGGCATAAAATAAGAGGACTCCACGATTCGGCAGGCTGATGTAAATTGATGCCAGGATTATTATTATTTTTTTTAAAAAAAATATTGTTTGAGTACGGCATTACATGCTACAAACCTTGATTCTGCATGTTGGAATCAAACTGCAGTGGTACAGTTTTTAGTAAGCAGCGTTCGATGTTGTGTTATTTAAAACTTTGCCAGGTGGAGGCTGGCACCGTACTGCATTTGACTACCACATAATAACACATTTTTATAGGGCTGGGAGGAGGGGGGGCGAAGAGACTCAGTCCTTTTTTTTTCTCCCCCAAATGTGCTTACAATTAGCTCTCTGTATTTTTATTGTCTTTCTTTTCTCCTAACCACAAAACTCACACTGGAGGCAAAGCTTAACGGCTGAGCTTTCCTCATGTAAATATTAGGAAATTACATTTGTACAAACTGCAGGACTTCGTCAAGGAGGGCTGGAACCCCTCCAAGGCAAATTAATCAGGATAAAGTTGCTCTCTGTTCAACATGACCATAGTTTATTTTCTGAAGGTATTAATTTGTCAACAGTTTGCCTGCTTTGCTGTGACTCATGCAAATAGCATTCAAGGAAGACACAAATTCAGCCCTTCCAGATCTACCTTGTACTTTCACAGAGGCAGTTCCAGCAATTCAAAATACTAGATGGCTGAATTCCCAGCATATGATCTGGTGCAAAAGGCTTGAATCTTTTGCAAAGAGACGAACATTGCTTCTGAAACCAGAAAACAGTGTGTCCTCCTTTTAGAAATAAACATAACAGGCACATGCCTAACTGACGTGCAGTAGTGCTATGTATGTTAATCTGATGTTTTAAAATGGTTTAGAGTTTAGAGTTTATTGGATTTCTATACCGCCCTTCTCCCAGGGGACTCAGGGCGGTGTACAGCCACATTAAAACACATGAATTTATAAAATTTAAAACCAATTAAAACAAATATATACAATTTGGCCCTCAAATTAAAACACAATGGTCACAGATACTCTGCCCTAAGTAAACAATTTTCTAAATGAAAACCAACAATTTTAAATCCGTTCTCTTACTGCTGTCTTCCAGATGACACCACATTATTTCTCACTGTAACCTGCTGCCCGCAAGCAACAATTACAATTCATTGTTCTCTTTCTGGAATGCAGAAAAAAATGCATAAGGGGATCAGTTTTTAGACTTGCCAGAGCTCTTCCTCTTGCCAAATGTCATAATGACTTGTCCACAAAACAAATCTTACTTACGACTGGTAGATGCCACCAGGAAATGCAGAATTCTATCAAATGTTTTTGCAAGGACAAATATTCTTTCAGGGTTCTGATCCTCTCTTGATTTTGATTTCTATTATTAATGTGCACGAACAATTTTATTCAAATTAATTGATACTGTCCAATCCTAATTTTTATCTTAAGATGGTAGCTAAGTTTTAATACTTGCATGATTAGGGCTGATTCAGCATGGCAAGCTCAAAATATTCATGTCACTAAATGATGCTGATTGTTTAATAAAGTCATCTCATTATGAAATGAAAATACGTTAGTATTAGATTTCTCCTTTTTTTTTTGTCCTTTCAAAATGTCAGTTTTTCCCTTTTCTTTTAACATAGTTAATATTAATATATGGGCCCAAATAGTATTGATGCTGCTCTTATTTTATTTGCTATGTTCACAGTTTTATTATTTAAGAATTCAGTTGTTGCCAAGTATTAATCAATATATTATGCTGCTCAGTTGGGCAAGCTGTATGAAAACATTGTGCCCCTAGGGTTAATACAGTCAAGAGCCAGAAAAGTGTTTTAGACATGTACACAACATGTGGTTTACTATTATCATTAAATGAGGTGAACTGGGACTTTATACATATGGATTTTGAATTGCATAAATTTTGATTGATATCATTTGAAGACTGAAACCCTGAAAGGGTAGATTTTGTGAAAGACGATACGCAGGCCAGCTATTACCACATACAATAGCACCAGAGGAAAACCTCCAAAATGAGCAAGGCAGCTGGCTTTTAAATAGCTAAAACATAACATCAATACTTATTCTGAATAATGGAAAAAAGAGGTAAAAGATGTTGACCCCTGCCTGACAATAACATGTTCCAAAAGGAGAACTGGCCTCTTGAGACCATCGCTTGCTCAACAGTAGCCCCTGTGATTTCCTCCCCCCTTTCTCTCTCTCTCCCTGATTGCCCTTTCTCCCTCGCTCAAAAAGATAAATATTTTTTGAGCGTTTAAACACTATAGACAACCAGCCAGAAAAAGAATTTTCACAAATTCAGGAAACACTTGAGAGGTAAAACCAACATCCTGAGACAGGAGACAGGCCAGCTTTTGACACCAAGGCTAGACCTTGGAGGCCTAGAGAAACCTTTAGCCAGGAAGCTCTCGCCACAGAGGTCAGGACTTGAGGGACCTTGCATGACGGCAAAAAGCAAGCACAACTTTCCGTGCCCCATCAAATCCAACAGGCCTTTTCATGGGAAATTTGCTGAATTTTTGCTGATCTGCATTAAACATGTATGAGACTTAGGAGTAAAGAGCCTTTCCTTAACTTAGTGTGGATTACTAGTTCATGCCGTTTTTAAGTGGTGAATTATAACATATGCAGGAATTTGAAAAGTCTCCAAGGCCTTTAAACCCATTTTTCTCCTAACATGTGATTCATGCGGCAAATTATCAATACATCACTCCACGAGATTCATTCAATTTGCTCAGATTTGTTAAAACTTTATTCTGAGAGAGAGAGAGAGCACTGGATAATGCTTTATTTATTATTTATGCTCCATAAATGTATTAAAACATTAACCATATTTCTTTGCAATGGCATACTTCAATTCTCACAGGGGAAGGTGTGTGGAGGGGTGGGGGTGGGGTGGGGGGTAGAAGTCCAAATGTTTCTCCAACTGCTACTTTAGTTTCCCCAAGGAGGGAACATATTTGTGTTGTGTTACACCTTTAAGTGTTGATTAGGCTTTCATGTTATGGTGACAGAAGTGCTGTGGAGTGTTTCTCTTTAATGGGATAATAAGATGCATCAGCCACAAGAAGGAAATGTTCCTTTTCAAGTCAGCGGTGGTAAAATGGTTTGTAGGTAAACCTCAAACAGGCATTCTTCTTGCAGACCAAGTACTAACATTTAAAAGAGGAACAAGAACCCAAAACATCAGCCAGGTAACTTGGACACCTGGTGTAAGAAGAACCAGACAGCTCTGAAACACAATGTTTTTTGTTTAAAAAAAATTCAGATGTTGTCATGCCCTTGTCATATTATTTCATTTTCATTTATTTCATTTGCACATGAAAAAAACTCCCAGTCGTTCAGCTGAAACCGAACACTGTTACAAAAACAACAGAAAAGTTTGGTTAAAAAAATAATAATTCAAAAGCTCCTAATTTCTGCCTTGTGACATTTCAACACAAGTTCCTGAAAAACTGCCTTCTTTGCCTTTGCTTCTTTTTT